TTTTGGCAAGGTTACTTGATTTTGAAGAAAAGAGAGAAACCAAGTTTCAATGTGTAGTACAAGCATGGGTTGGGTGATTGTAAGTGTCTAAACCCTTTCTCATGTGTTATAAGACATGTATGATCAAAATATAACAAGTGCAAGGCTCAAGAACAAGTTTTGTGCAAAAAGTCACTTTATCAAAATGGCAATGTACACTTTCTTCCAAAAATGGATATAAAGCATGTCCATGCATTGAATGCTTGAAATGAAACCTCTAACAGCTGTGTAAACCATTAATTATGTAGTGCCTAACAAGTTTGAGGCCTGCAAAGTAGAGTTTATGCAACATGTTTTGAATTTTGAATTTGGTTTATCACAAAATGACTTGTAATTCAAGTGATAAAACCCTAACTTCATCTCTTCAATTCTCCCTACTCAAGAATGATCTTAAGGAGTTATTGGATATTTTGGAAAGCTTGTAATGTGCTCTACAACCCATATTTGAATTGCTTTTTAATATTCCACTTGGAACTATATGAAAAAGTGCCATGAAGTTGGGTCAAAATTCTGACCAAATTAGGGCAAAATTTGACTAAGTGTTTTGTTTCATGACCACATGTTCTTAAAATTATAACTTGAGATCCAAGCACTTTTGGAAGAAGTTGTGTAAATCAAAGTTGTAGATTTCATGGATATATACAACTTTCATGTTGGAAGTTTCTCTTGAATCATCTTGCATCATGGTGAAAATATTGCTCAAAGTTATGAAAAAACATGAAATTCCAACACTTAGAAAAATTTCTAAGTTTAGAAATTTTGACTTTTCAAAATGAAATCTTGACTTTTTGATTTCTTGATGAATATGTTTCATATTTTGACATTTTTTGATGAATTGTGATCTTTGGCATTTGAATTTGACCAAAAAGTCAAAGTTTGACTTTTCAGTATACAGTTGACTTTTGATCAGTTGACTGAAAATTTATCTGTCAATCGTTTGAACTTGAGTAATGTTTTGAGCCATGTTATTAGGTCAAAAATTATGCAATTGGACTCTTGAGATCATTACTTAAACCAATTGATCATTTTCTAGGTCAAAAATCAGAAATTGTTCTTTCTTAGTAAAAACCCTAATTTTGGCCATTTTGCCCTTTTAGAGATTTGATCAAATTTCTTGAGGAATTATGGTCCAAACTTGATCAAATGATACATATGATTTTAAAATGTTGATGTGGATCAAAAACTATGAAGTTTGACTGTGAATTGGCCATAGTTGACTTTTTCCCAAATACAATTGATTTTTAGGTCAACTACTCAATTGACTGAGCAAAAGTGTGATTCAAAGCTTGAAACTTGACATGAGTGATCTTGGGGGGTCCATAGTGATCCATGAAAACCATATGGGGCATTGGAAGTTCAAAAATCCTTGTGCAAACTCAAACCCTAATTTTGGTCATCAGTGCTTAAGGAGGTGTCTTGAGCTGATCAAACCCTAGTGCAATCTTGAGCTAAGGAGATCTTTTGAGCAAATTCTTGATATGTGAGAGGGCAAATTTTGGGGTACAACAGGTAGATTGCTTCTACACTTAGTTCAAGGACTGTGGCAACAATTCCTAGCTCCATTAAAACTCCAATAACTACCTTTGGAGCCAAGAGTATTGAAACATGAAAAGTTATCAAGCTAATAAGTGGAAAATAATGTGAAGGATTAACATCAAGAAGAGAAGAATAACCAAAAGAGAATACAATTAATCCTGACACTTAAGAAAGGAAGTGTCTAAACCCACTAAAGATACACGTGTATTAGGACCTACTGAGGAACATATAACACAAGATAAAGGCACGTGAAGACTATTGGCATGACATCTAATCTAGAAAAATAGCCAATTATTATGCCGGAGATTGACATGGTACCCATATTTTTTCAAGTGAGACCCCACCTCATTTTCTTCAAAGGATTATAAAGGCAATAAAAGAGCAACAATTTGGCAAATGGAGATTCTGAAGCAGCTTCACATCAACATACCATTGATTGAGTCAATCCAACAATTGCAAAGTTACTCAAAATTTATGAAGAATGTTCTTACAAAAAGGAAGAGAGTGGGAAAGTTTTCAACTGTAGAACTAACTCAAGAGTGCACTCAACTTGTTAAAGGAAAACTCCATCCCAAATTAAAGGATCCTGGAAGTTTTACTATACCATGTAACATAGGAGATTCATTATGTGGAAGGGCATTGTGTCAACTTGGAGAAAGCATCAACCCCATGCCATTATCTATCTTTAAAAAGTTAGGGATTAAAGCTTCTAGATCAATAACCATTACTCTCCAACTAGTTGACATAAGTATTTGCTATCCGCAAGGGAAGATTGAAAATGTGCTGGTAAGGGTTGATTAGTTTGTGTTCCCTACTGACTTCATCATTATAGATGATGAAGGGCTATGAGTACATGTTACTTAGAAAGAAAAACTGACGAATTCTGATAAGAATTGACAAAGTTAGAAGCATTTAAGTGAAAAAACTAAAAAAAGCTCTTTTAGGAAAAAAAAGACTTAGTGAGAAAATTGGTGAAAAAAGGATCAAAAACATGCAAAAGCCTCTGGAAAATACGCACCAGGAACGCGCCCACATTGTCTCTAACATGCCCGCGACAAAAAGCAACGTGTCTGCATTGAAGCAACAATGGCGCAACGCGTCCGCGTTGAAAGACAACATGCCCCTATTGCAGCTTTTCACTGACACGTTTTATGATTTCTTTATAAGAAGAAGAAAGAGGAAAAATAAACGGATTCGACTACCAAGACCTGAAAGTGACATTTAAGAGAGATTTTGGATCTTTTGGAGGCCATTGAAGCCATTGGAGAGCTTCTTCTTTAAAGATTCTACATGTTCTTCGAGTATACATTATTGGTATTGATTAATTTCAACATGAGTAGCTAGATTCCTCTTAGGTTAGGTTTTATTTGATGATGAACCTGTTTTTACTTAATTGGGACATATTATTGGATGATGATAATGTAATTGCTTTAAATCTTTGTTACTATTCAGTTAATAATTTTGCTCATTTCCTTTTGTTTGTTACAACATTAAAATAGATCTTGATAATAGTGACTACTGACCCTATGCCTATTTATATGACATACTTTAACTATTGAATTCTCTAATTTATTAGGGATAGTATGGTAAAGCATTGTGACTTAGGGATTAACGAGCTCCATTTCCTAGTTTGACGTGACAATTGGCTTGAGGGACCAAGGAGTTGACATTTAGGATAGTCAGCTACACGCCAAGGGATTGAGTGCAGTGGTAGTGTTAATATGTCGTGTAACTCTGTATTCACTGCATGTCTATTAATGCACGTTTCATCAATCAAGTAGAAATAGGGGATTCTAATAACAAAACCTAGCCATTTTTCTCATCATTGTTATAGAGTTTTTTCTTGTGTTTTCAGACAAACACTCTGAAAATCCCTCGTTTACTGTTTTTAATTTACATCGCACAACGTACCTTGTTTTAAGTTTTCAATCCTTGTGGAGACGAATTTTTTTTTATTACTTCGATAACAACACCAATACACTTGCTAGTAAATTGTCCATTAAATTTTTGGCATTGTTGCCAGAAATTGTTGATATTTTCAACAAGGCATAGTGTGCGACTTATTTTATTTTATTTTTGCTTAATTTTAATTCTATCATTTTAATTTTAGTTTTTACTCTGTTCTGTATTGAACAGTGTACTAAGGTATTGATTTATGTGTTAATGCGAGGTTCAGATTAGACGCTTCTACCGTTGGATTTAAAGATCAAGATAACTAGAAGAGCCCTCTGTAAAGCAAAAATCGAGGAGTTGTTAGCTGAACAATAGCATAAAGAGGAAGCTTAAATGGAAAATACACCACATCCGACATTTGGGGATTATTGTAGGTGTACTAACACTGATTAAATTTCATGAGAGTTCCAAACGGAGAATCCAATGAATTTTGATATCAAGAATTATGTGTTGTAGGACCTGATAGATAATCTATTTAACAGTTATGCCATTAATGATCCTTAGGAATACCTTGTCATGTTTTATGAGACCTGCTCTATGTGTAAACCATCAGGGGATAATATAACTGACGACCAAGTAAAACTCTGCTTGTTCGTATTTTCATTAATTGGTAGAGCAAAAGATTGGTTGCAATGTATCCCCAATGAGACTATACAAACATGGAAATAGTTAGAAGATAAGTTCTTGGAATGATACTATTCAAATGTGCAGTTTGTCGGGAAAAAAGCCACTAATTTTATCAAAGAAGATAGTGAGTCTTTGTTAGATGCATGAGAGAGGTATAAGTTGTTACTCCAAAAGTGATCGAATCATAACTTGAGTTCAATAGATCAATTATTTAACTTTATGAGAGAATTGTCAATAACTACTCGAATGCTAATTTATGCCTCTGTTGGAGGTGCATTGACAGAGAAAATTGACGATGAGGTTAAGACACTAATGTCAAAACGAGTATTGATCCAGTGAGCCATTTGTGAAAGGGAAATGTGTGTTAGTTGTTGACACATAAATTATATTGTTAGTTCATATGGAAGCTCTCACCATATAGTTGGTCGCCTCTCAATTGAATCAAGCTAATGCAAGTCTGATACAAACTCTGAAATGCCATTTTTGTGGAGGTGAACATTA